AGCATCGGCCTGTGGCCTGAAGGGTCCCGGGTTCAATTCTGGTCAAGGGCACATGCCCAGGTTTTGGGCTCAATCCCCAGTAGGGGGAATGCAGGAGGCAGCCTATCAATGATTCTCTCTCATCATTGATGTTTCTATGTCTCTCTCTCCCTTCCTCTCTGAAATCAATAAAAATATATATTTTTAAAAAACCTTATTTAGTGGAAAAAGCAGTAGTTTTAAGCCAGACAGTCCTTAATTTGCTTAATAACTGCATCATCTTGCATAAGTCATTATTAATTTTAAGCTTTACTTTCTGGATCAATTCAATAGAAAAATACTTATTTTGAATAGTTTTTGTGATGATCAGAGTTGTTTTAATAAAGTGACTGGCAATAGTAGCTCTCTAGTACACAGTAATTTTTATTAATATTATTATTAGAGTATTGCAGCTCATAAAACTAGGCACCTCATCTTCATCTTTGCTTTCCTCTAATCTACCTGCCACACTGCTCCCAGAAGCTATGGATACATATGTTCATTTGATGAACATATCTAAAATGCAAATCTGTTTGTATCATTCCTTTGTAATAAACTCTTTTAATAATGGATCCCTATAATTTTTATGCCAACATAGCTCATAAGCACCCCTTCTTCAACCCAGGCCACTTCTCTGCACTTTACTCTGTGGTCCAGTCACACTGAATTTCCTTTAGTTTCTATAATGTATTATTACCACCTCCTCCCTCATTCCTCTGGCCTTCATCTCTCTCTCTCTCTCTCTCTCTCTCTCTCTCTCTCTCTCTCTCTCTCCCTCCCTCCTTTCCTCCCTCACTCCCTCCTTCTTTATCTCCCTCTCTCTCCCCACCTTATTCTCTATGAAACATTTTTTCCTATCTTTTACTCTAATTTAACTCTTCACTTCTTCTTAGTCTCAGTTTAAAAGTGAATTCCTCTGGAATTCATTGTGGCTATTCTCCATAGACTCACTTTATTGTTCCTTCTAGATGCTCCCATACTACTCTGTGCTTCCTCAATCATAGCACTTATTCTACTTTACTGTCATGATTTATTTGTTTTCCCCAACAAAATATAAGCGAGGGCAGAGACCTCATCTATTCTTGCTCATCACTGTGTTCCTAGTTTTATGATGAATTGTGTCAATTCATGAATACCTGCCTTTGTATATGCTATTTCCTCTGCCTAGAATACCCTTCTGTACCTTACCCTATACCTACACTTTCTTCAAGATTCAAGATATAGAATAAGCATTGCCTCCTTTCTACAACTTCCCTTGATGCCGCCACGTGATGTTGGATGTTCTTGCACTGTAATTCTAACACATTTTGCACCTCTCTCTGTTTAAGGACTTTTATATTATTGTGCAGCTATCTCTGCACATATCTGCTGTAGCCATTGGACTGTAAGTCATTAAAAGCATGACATGTGTCTTATTTATCTCTATAGATCAGCACTTATTCCCAAATCCACAAACATGATAAGCACTCATAAATGGGTTGAATGAATGATTCAATTCAATGGGATAAAATCTAGTTAAATTTAATGAGTACTTATAGCTCATACTAAAATAATCACTGGAACTGTTTTACTGTTATATATTATGCAACATTCATATACCATAGGTATAAAGAAAAATGCAATGAACATATGTATCCATAGCTTCATCAATAAATAAAATGTCATTAATAGAAATGCAGTTCCCTATATATTCATATCTGATAAAATGGAAAATTCATAAACATGTGCATCACTTTGATCTGGGTTCTGTTCATTTTTCTATATCATTCCAATTTTAGTATGTGTGCTGCTGAAGTAAGCAGCAGGTAATGAGCTTTGGCCTGCATTTTTATGGTTGTCTTGAGGTCTCAAGATGAGACAAGACAAAGCTTCATTCTCAACTGCCCTAGTTACACAGCCATGCAATCCTTGGTAAAATTTTTCTAACAAACTATCATTCTTTAGTTTTTTCATGGAATCCAGATATAATTTCTGAGGATCAAAAATAATAACAGTAATGTGGTAGAGTAACAAACACTTTCTGAAAAATTCTAAGTGTTCTTCAGACCTTATCCAATTCGTGATTTTTATGTGTCTGCAAGAAGGTAGCAGCCACATTGTTACCTGAATGAGAAAACAGGTAATTTGTATCTTATAAAAAGTCACCAGATGAATAAATCGTGGTGTCACAAATAGAGCCAAGCATTTATTTTCAGTCTTGAACTTAGGTCTCCCTCTGGACCCATTGTCCTGGGTCCAAGGTGAAGCTTATACTGTGTAAGGGAACCAATGGCTTCATCATGTTTCTAAACTTCTGTACCTCCTCTACTCTGTACTTTAGAATAAGCACAAGGTCATTCTGCACAGACTCCTATCTTCCTAAACTTGTCCAATTCAGACTAAAATGAAGAGCCCACTGGTCATCTTCTTCCCATTCATCCAACTCTATCTTCAGGTGGCTAATCCTTTATTCAACTTCATCTTCTGCCTTTCTCAATAAGCATCCTCAGTCTTCTTTATAATTCCACATCTCCATCCCCCCAGGACCCAGGAGTTTTCATTTGCAGCTACACCCAGGCTTTTGTGCAGGGAGGGAAGTGCGGACTTGTGGTACCTAAGGAGACTGCGGTGGGAAGCATTATGGGGAGATTTGCCAAAACAGCAGCCAGGGGCATTTGGTTGTAGGCCCCCAAACCAAAACGGCCATTTTTCCTGAAAGGAGCTAGCTGCTCCCAGTAGTTTCATGGTGGGAAAAGAAAAAAGACCCACTCTAGTCAACACAGCCTGCCCCACCTGCATGATCCCTGCATGCCACACCCTGCATTTTGAGCTTTTCAGAGGAAACAAAAGCAGAGGCCAAGCTTATGGGTTTGAACAGTCTCAAGGAGCCCTCAGTGACAGGACAAGGGCAGAGGGGGTCTGCCCCAATATCCTGGGAACCAAACTGATATTTTCCCCACACAGGAGAACTGATAAAAACTCTTTCCAGCTGATTCTCTCTGCCAAGCCAAGGGCAGAGTTCTATTTTGGGAAACTCATGGAAGAGTAGCTCTGGGACAGGGAAACACACCCACCATATTCCCTGAAAGCTAAACAGCACCTCCCCCACCTAAAGCCCTTTCAGAAACAGACTATTGAATGATTAAGATTGAAAGCTGGCTAGCAGGCAAAGGCGGGCCAGAGGTAGAGCCCAAAGAACTAAGGGAAGTTGCTGACCCAGCCCTGGGCCCCATGATGCTAACAAACCTACATTAGAGAGCAGATTGGCCCCTTCTGCTTGCAGCCAAGGCCTGTGGATACAGACACAAACTGTGGATTGCTTGGAGCTTCCAGCAGGATTCAGAAAGCAAAAGGACAGTGTCTGACAATGATTAGCACCTAAGTACCTAACAGGAAGTCCAGAATTGGCAGGCAGAAGAGTAGGATCCAAAGGGAGCCTGGGGTGGGGGCAGGCTAGAAGATGTCAAAGGGGGAAAAGGGGGGACATATGTAATACTTTCAGCAATAAAGATTTTAAAAAATAAATAAAAGATATAGGGTTAGGCAAAAGTAGGTTTAAAGTTGAGAGTACACAAAATACGGAGGTTATTCTTGTATTATTATCTACTAGAGCCCCGGTGCACGAATTTGTGCATGGGTGAGGTCCCTCAGCCTGGCCAGTGATCAGGGCCGATCGGGGCCATTGGGCTCAGCTGGCCGGGGGGAGGGGCAGCAGGAGGTTGGATGTGGGAGTGCACTGACCACCAGGGGGCAGCTCCTGCATTGAGTGTCTGCCCCTTGGTGGTTAGTGCACATCATAGCGACCACTCAACCAGTTGTTTGGTCATTCATTTGTTCGGTCGTTCGGCCACTTAGGCTTTTATAAATATAGATTGACTAGAGGCCTCGTGCATGAGTGGGGTCTGTTGGCCAGGCCAGCAATCGGGGCCAATTGGGGGGCATGGGGAGGAGCCATGGGAGGTTGTCCAGCAGTGGGAGGGGTAACGGGAGGTTGGCTGGCCACCCTGATCTGGGCCAATGGGGCTGGCCTGCCAGGGGGAGGTTGACTGGCCGCTGGAGTTTAGCTGTGGGAGTGCACTGACCACCAGGGGGCAGCTTCTGCATTGAGCGTCTGTCTCCTGATGGTCAGTGTGCACCATAGTGACTGGTTGTTTGGTCGTTTGGTAGGTCACTTAGGCTTTTATATATATAGATACAAACAATGATTTAGTTTGTAGTTATTTTCCATACAAACAACTGTAAAGCTTCTTTTGCCTAACCCTGTATATCATACTTTTCTACTCCCAAAGCATAAAAACCATCACAATCCCCCAAAGCACAAAAACCATCACAATTTTATGTTTCTGATGATTCATTATACATTGTTTAAAACAGCATTCACCAACCGGTCGTCCGTGAGGTCTGAAAGGTTGGTGACTGCTGGCTTACAAGATATAGATTTAAGTTCTTCGGAAACTTCACTTATATCAAACTCCTCAGCATTCCAAGACCATGTGGCATTAAACATATGCTGCTGTAATTTTGCATATATATATATTAGCATTGTATGTTTCAGAAAATATCCATCATTAGCCTACATGACTCTCATAACCTGCATCATAGTAGTTCGTTTTTACAGTTAAAATTAGCCTATTCTGACTGTCACAATGTTCATGCCTATGTATATGGCTGTGAGTCTGTGTATTTAAGTGTTCTTGATAATGTATATGCATTATATTAGTGCTCATGTGTCTTGGAGTATGCAGCATTTATACATCATGAACATATATCTCTGTGTTTTTTAGAATGTTCATATGGCCAACTCTCAATTTATATGTGTATCTATACTAGTATATATATGTCCATGAGTGTGTATATCTGCAAATGTGTTAAGAGTACACACCTATGTGTGCATTTAAAATCTGTAAACTTGAAAGAATTTTCAATGGATAGCCTAAAACATGCTGCTTTAAAACCTAGTCGTACCCACAAGTATATTTTAGAAAGGGATATCACTTTCTGACCTCATTGTGTAGAGGAGGGTTCCATTGTCTATCAGTCTGAGCAACTTGTTAGGTGTGGTCATGTTATGGGCCACCGATTTCTTCCCATTGTGAAAGAAGGTGTCAGGGGTCCAGATCTTACTAGCCAGAAGATTGTTCAGTGGAAGGACCTTCATCGGTCCATCAAATTTCAGTCTTTCATCATGCCATGTCTGTCGAAAAAATACGTCAATGGTGTACTCCTAGGGACAAAAAAGAGAGAGAACAATGTTTGAGTAGAGTTCTAGTAAGGACGCAGTGTCCTTACCAAATATTAATTACCTTGCAATATTTCCTCTGATGCAGAGTTGCAGCAGCCTATTAACACTAGTTACGGTGAGTATAACAAATGATTATGATTGAAAAATAATGCCATGGAGATCAGTAAGTAAGTAAGAGATAATGTATCTGACAAGATTTTGCTTAGGAAAGTCACTGCCAATACTGCCCTGCACATCATAAAAGCTAACCACACTGAGCTGGTTTTCCTCAGTGGTTAGCGCATCAGCCTGCACACTGAAGGGTCCTGGGTTTGATTCTTGTCAAGGGCACATACCCGGGTTGTGGGCTTGATCCCCAGTAGGGGGCGTGCAAGAGGCAGCTGATCAATGATTCTCTTCTCATCATTCATGTTTCTCTCTCTCTCTCTTTCTCTCCCCTTTCCTCTCTGAAATCAATAAAAATATACTTTTAATAAATAAATAAATAATAAAAGCTAACCACAAGATCTTGTCTTATAAAAAGGCAAGAGCTCCCTTCACCATGTCGAGGCATCTCTAGTAAGGACAAATTCCTTACCTTGTCTGCTCCTACTAAATGATCCCATATGAACATGAAAGGCCAATATAATAATCACCACAAATACAAAGCTTTAAATTTTAGAACATATTTCATTTGAACCTCAAGTAAAAATGTTTGATGAATTAATATCTTAATATATTTAATAAATAAGGAACTCTTACAGATAAAAAGGAACAAACAAATAGAAAATGGGTAAATGACATGAACAGAAAATTCATGAAATGGATAAAAATGGCTAATAAAAATGAAAATTTTCAAAATTGCTGTTAATATAAACACAAACTAAAATAATAAATGTTCTATGTTTTGGTAACAGCAGACTAAATCATTTGGATGCTAAATCATTTAGTTATCATGACTAAATCATTATAACTATCAACTATAAAATTTGAATAAATAAATAGAAAGATAGAATGATAGACTATTTTAAAGCAATGGAAAGTGACTAATAGCAGGCAAATACTTGAGAAAAGTGTACCATTGAAAGATGGCAATAGCAATGGATTAAAATTACATTTGTGGCTTCTCTTTCTTAAAGGTGTTCCTCCAAACCTCGACTTCACATGTTATGATAACACAGCCTTACTGGCTCAAAGTGGCAAATAATCTGAAAATTTAGGGGTGAGAGTCCTAGAAGAGAGCCACAGTAGGAATGGTACCCTAAATCTGGGTATATACTCTGCCTGAAATCCTAGCTAACCACTATACTAACTATACACATATGAGGAAGACCTCATGTTTAAAAAATTCAGACAGAAACAATAGTGGAGTCTTCCACTAAATCACCGATAACAGAACTGTTCTGGATGGTGATTGTTTGACAGAAATTTTATTGGCATAATATCTCAGAGGAGATTGCTTAAGGCTGGCCAAAGAGATGAAAATTCAGGGGGAGACCCTGGAAGCAAGATAACCACTGAGAGGGTATGTCTCAAACTCTGAATACAAACTCTGTCCAAATCCTTGGCTAACCACTAAAGTACATAAAGCATGGGGGACACCTTTAGGTAGCCAGGCAAAATAAACAACCAGAAGCTGCTTAAAATCCATTAATGGCCTCCAATCTTACCTGCAATAAATTCTAATATCCTTCCCTTATCTAGAAAGCACTTAATAAACTGGCCCTTACCTTCCTCTCTGAGCTCTTCTTCTTTTTTATTGTTGACAGTATTACAGATGTCCCCTATTTCCCCACTTCCCTCCTCCAGCCAAGCCTTCATCACACTACTGTCTGTGTCCATGTGCTATGCACATATGCATACAAGTTCTTTGGTTAATCTCTTCCCATTTCCCAACCCCCTTCACCTCTTACAGCTGTCAGTGTGTTCCATGTATCCATGCTTCTGTTACTATTTTTTTTCATCAGTTTATTTTGTTCATTAGATTCCACATATAAGTGAGATCATATGTGGTATTTGTCTTTCTCTGGATTATTTCACTTATCCTATCTAATAAAAGAGAAACATGGTAATTAGCCATACCTCCGCTACCCTTCCCATTGGCTAATCAGGGCGATATGCAAATTAACTGCCAACCAATATGGCGGCCGGCAGCCAGGCAGCTTGAAGTGAAAATGAGGCTTGCTTACTTCAGTGACGGAGGACTCCAACGTTCCCTGCCTGCCGCTGCTGGCTTCTGAGCTTGCAGTTTGAAACATTGTTACCAATAGAGAAGCTAAACAAAACCCCAGAAACCTGCTTTCAGCCTGCTGGGAACTCAAGAGCTGGAGTTGAAACAGTGTTTCGATTATAGAACCCAAACAAACCAGATACCTGCTTTCAGCAGCAGAGGCCTAAGAGCTGGAGCCAAGCCTCAGAGCTAAAGCTGGCCCAGAATAAAAAATAAAAATAAAAAAGGAGCGGTTGGGAGCTTCAGTCACCCACCAGCCTGAAAACAGCCCTCAGCCCCTCACCCAGACTGTCCAGGCACCCCAGTGGGGACCCCCACCCTGAAGGGTGTGTGACCAGCTGCAAACAGCCATCATCCCCTCATCCAGGCTGGCCAGGCACCCCAGTGGGGACCCCCAACCTTAAGGGTGTGTGACCAGCTGCAAACAGTCATCATCCTCTCATCCAGGCTAGCCAGGCACCCCAGTGGGGACCCCCACCCTGATCCAGGACAGCCTTCAGGGCAAAACAGCCGGCCCCACCCATGCACCAGGCCTCTATCCTATATAGTAAAAGGGTAATATGCCTCCCGGCACCAGGATCAGCGTTACAGGGGGCAGCGCCCAGACCCCCTGATCACCCTGCGGCTCTGTGTGTGACAGGGGGCGAGGCCACAACCTCCCTATCCACCCTGCTCTGTTCGTGACAGGGGAAAGCGCCCCAACCCCCTGATCATCCCTGCTCTGTGCCTGATAGGGGGGAGCTCCCCAACGCCCTGTTCACCCTACGGCTCTGTGTGTGACAGGGTGCGGCGCCCCAACCCTTTACCCTCCCCCCACAGGCCCTGCTATGTGTGTGACGGGGTAGAGCCATAACCTCCCTATCGGCCCTACCCTGAGTGTGACAGTGATGGTGCTCCAACCCCCTGATTGGCCCTGCTCTGTGAATGACAGGGGGCAGTGCCCCAACCCCCTGATTAGCCCTGCTCTGTGCGTGACAGGAGGTGGCACCGTAACCTCCCAATCGACCCTTCCTTGAGTGTGACAGGGGGTGGTGAACCAACCCCCCAATCGACCCTACCCTGAGCGTGACTGAGGGTGGCATCACAACCTCCCAATCCGCCCTGCTCTGTGCATGACAGGGGGCGGCGCCCCAACTCCCCATTCAGCCCTGCTCTGAGCCCGACCAGGGGCTGCACCTAGGGATTGGGCCTGCCCTCTGCCACCCAGGAGCAGGCCTAAGCCAGCAAGTCAATATCTCCCGAGGGTCCCAGACTGCGAGAGGGCACAGGCCGGGCTGAGGGACCCCCTTCCCCCCGCAAGTGCACAAATTTTTGTGCACCGGGCCTCTAGTCCTGTTTAATAAAATATAAACATGCAAATTGGTGTCACTCCGCTACCCTTTCCATTGGCTAATCAGGGCGATATGCAAATTAACTGCCAGCCATTATGGCGGCCGGCAGCGAGGCAGCTTGAAGCCAACATGAGGCTTGCTTGCTACAAGTGACAGAGGACTCCAACGTTCCCAGCCTGCTGCTGCCAGCCTTTGAGCTTGCAGTTTGAAACATTGCTACAAATATAGAAGCTAAACAAAACCCCAGAAACCTGCTTTCAGCCAGCCAGGATCTCAGAGCTGGAGTTTAAACAGTGTTTCGATTATAGAACCGAAACAAACCAGATAGCTGCTTTCAGCAGCCGAGGCTTGAGAGCTGGAGGCAAGCCTCAGAGCTAAAGCTGGCCCAGAATAAAAAAAAAAAAAAAGAAATAAAGGAGCAGTTGGGAGCTTCAGTCACCTGCCAGCCTGAAAACAGCACTCAGCCCCTCACCCAGACTGGCCAGGCACCCCAGTGGGGACCCCCACCCTGAAGGGTGTGTGACCAGCTGCAAACAGCCATCATTCCCTCATCCAGGCTGGTCAGGCACCCCAGTGGGGACCCCCACCCTGATCCAGGACACCTTTCAGGGCAAACCAGCCGGCCCCCACCCGTGCACCAGGCCTCTATCCTATATAGTAAAAGGGTAATATGCCTCCCAGCACCGGGATCAGCGTGACAGGGGGCAGCGCCCAAACCCCCTGATTGTCCTGCAGCTCTGTGTGTGACAGGGGCAGGGCCACAACCTCCCTATCCGCCCTGCTCTGTTCGTGACAGGGGAAGGTGCCCCAACCCCCTGATCATCCCTGCTCTGTCCCTGATAGGGGAAGCTCCCCAACCCCCTGATCGCCCTGCCGTTCTGTGTGTGACAGAGTGCGGCGCCCCAACCCACTGACTGGCCCTGCTCTGTGTGTGAGAGGGTGCGGCGCCCCAACCCCCCCTCACCACGGGCCCTGCTCTGTGTGTGACGGGGTAGAGCCATAACCTCCACATCGGCCCTGCCCTGAGTGTGACAGGGTGCGGCACCCCAACCCCCTGATCTGCCCTGCTCTGTGTGTGTCATGGGGTGGTGCCCCAACTCCCCTATTGGCCCTACTCTGTGAGTGACGGGGGAAGCTCCCCAAACCCCTGATCAGCCGTGCTCTGTGCATGACAGGGTATGGAGCCCCAATCCCCCTGATGGGCCCTGCTCTGTGAGTGACAAGGGGCAGCTCCCCAACCCCTGACCCACTCTGCTCTGTGTGTGACAGGGGGTGGTGCCGCAACCTCCCCATCGACCCTGCCTTGAGTGTGACAGGGGGCGGTGCCCCAACCCCCCAATCGGCCCTACCCTGAGCGTGACTAGGGTGGCATCGCAACCTCCCGATCTGCCCTGCTCTGTGCATGACAGGGGGTGGCGCCCCAACTCCCCATTCAGCCCTGC